GAGGTCCTGGGGATTTGCAAAGATAAATAAGTTACTGTCTCTACCCTGCAGGTTGCTCAGGTAATTTGAGGAAACATAAGCTTAAAAAACCCACACTGTCAGTAGGATGGGGTGAACCAGAGTTCACTGGCATGCACACTGGGCCCCAGCTCGGCCCAGCCCCACCAACCTGAGACCTGCTCAGCTTCTTTCTAAGCCACCCTTCATCAAAGACTACCTGTCCTCTTCCCTTTCCTCAGGGCCCAGCTTTCCCTAATGTGAAAATGAGTGATAATGCATGCTAATTTAACGTGTTACTTCTTCCAGGTGACATATTTACATTTTAATGGCAGAAAATTCAAAGGAGGCTATTTTAAGCCCTGTGGCAGGTGGGCGGGGACATATTTTGAGTTAGGGAGGATTTGAGGGGCCTTAAATGGATAGGCACCCACTGATTCTACCTTATGGGATTGGTTGCCCTCGGGGAATCCAGAGATGAGGATTGCCTCCCTGGGTTTTGCCCCCTCCCTATCTGATGGGAGTACTTTAGAGTGTTGGACTCCCAGGGCAATGATGGATGAGACATCTGCTCTATGATGGGCTATTACCAACAATTCATTACTGCAAAATGGACTTACCCTCATTAGCCCAGGAGCTCCGAGTTTAATGTGGCATTCTGCAATCTCACAGATTCTGCTGCACACATTGAAGGCGTGCATCACATTTTATAGAGCCAGGAAACCTGAACTTTAGAAAACAATGGAGATTTAGCATGCCTCTTGAATTAGCTGACGTATTTACTCTTTGTGAATAAGCCTGTTTTGTAGAAAAACACTGTAGCTCACAGTCTCATTATTAGAAATTAATTCGCTCCACTGCTCTACCCAAGGGCACAATTCTCCTTGGGGAACAGTTTTGCTCTTATCACGCTGGTGCTTGCAGTAGGTGACTAGGTTTCTGAAGTTCTGGCCTGGGAATGTTTCTCCTGGGGCAGTTCTGGGAAATGGGCTGAGTCTGTAGGTCTCTGCAGGCCCTTCATCATGAGTCACCTGTGTGAAATTTGCACATTCTGTATGGGAGCATTTGGGAAGATTTCTTTTTCCCTTTGTGATGTGTCCCAGCAAAACCATTGTCATAGATCCACATTTTGGAGAGGAGTGAATTATCCAGAACAAGTATTCAGTTCAAATAATGTGTGACACAGTGTCAATTTCCTAAACTTCTGATATTATAGGCACTGCTGTTGATGCATGAACTCCCTGCCTGGGTTTAGCTTATCCTCGGGAAATTACCCAGCCATTTGTCACATCCTCACAAATGACAGTTCTTCTGGGCTTCTTTTTCTTCAATAGCTCAGGGATCTCTGAGGTCTCTTCTAGGTAGAAGATTCTGTGTTGCCATCTCCCAAATCAGCAACTGGGGGATTTTTTTTAAACCCAGGCCCCACATTGCAGATGTCCCACCTCATTGCTGGTGGTAATGGTGGATGAAAGAGATAACATTTTTGGGGCCACAGCACAGTCAGTTACTTTCTTTTTTTTTCCCTTAGGAGTTAAACTTGGTAATTCATTTCTCTCAATCTGTTAGGTCTCACAGATACATGCAGTAACCTGTCTTCAGGCTTAAAAGTGCTTATTCATTTAGCCATCATTCCTTTCACAAATATTTATTGAACGCTCATTAAGCGCAAGGCATTCTGTTAGGCACAGGGGTCGTACTGGGCATGGGGTTCCCCTAAACAGCAAGAGACTGTTTAGCTTCAGCACAGACACAATCCAATTAGATTTATCAAATACTTGTTGCATACTTACAGTGGATCAGACCCTGGGGACAGAAAGCCAAGACACTCCCTGAAAGGTACACATGCCAGGTATACACGCTGTTCTCAAGGTCAGATTAAGATGCAAGCTTTTGTGCATAGTATTCTTTCTTCTCTCACACAACCTGACCTGCTTCTTTCCTGCTCCATGAAGGGGACTTCCAGTTCACCTTTCCAGACCACATTTCCATTAGGATGCTTATCCTAGATTTTTGATGATTCCCCATGTGGATTACATGGAAATATTGGGAGAATGTCCTTACCTTTCAGCAGAAATTTTTATCAGTTGTCTCAACAGCTTAAGCATCCTTTCTCACCACCAACTTTCTGTTCATTTTTCTATTTCCATCTTTATCCTGATAGAAAAATCAAGGATCCCGTATAATGTCCACTTACAACAGGCTGTGTGACGGGCAAGCTTTTATCTGTTCTCCTCCCTTTCCTCAGAGAAAGGGAAGATCCTGTATAATTTCCAGGAATTCTCCTATATAATTTTCATAGACATTTGGGTTGTTTCTACTTTTTGACTATTATGAATAAAGCTGCTATGAACAGTCATATAGAAATTTAGGTTTTCATTTCTCTTGGGAGGAGTAGAATTTCTGGGTCATAGGATGATTCTATGTTTTACCATTTGGTGGAAATGCCAGTTGTTTTCTAAAGCAGCTGTACCATTTCGCATTTCTACTAGCAATCAGTCATTAATTCTTCATCAAGACAGTGACCAGCCACTCTCTCTGAAGAGTATAAGGAAAAGAAGCTGCAGTTCCTCCTCTTCTTGCTGATTTTAGGCCATAACAAATATTCATTGCCCATGCACCTGCATCACTGATTCTAGATTTCTCTCACCTCCAGCTAGGTTACTTGCCCCATGGGTTGCTGAGTATGCTTTTCAACTTTAAAGTGCATTGAATCACCTGAGAATTGTGTTAAAATGCAGAATCAGATTCAGTGGTCTGGGGAGGGACCTGGGCTTCTGCATCTCTAGAAGCTCTCAGGTGGTGTTGATGCTGCTTGTCCATGGACACATTCGATAGCAAAGAACTAGGCTACGTTTATCCTTGATTACCATTCCCTTGCTAAACCACGGTTGCTGCAATTGCCCCTTTGTAGTTTTTGCCAGGTTTTAAGCACCTAGAAAAGCCCCACTGAAACCCCCAGGTTCTAGAAAGAATCTTTCCTCCTTCTATTGTGCAGCCACAACTCAAGCACCTTCTGGTAATCAGGACTATTAATCCCACCAGTACAATAACTCCTGTGTTGTCCACTAGCGTAAGGTGTGCCAAGTGACTAAGTGGTAGTCAGCTTCCAGCTCAGTGTAACCTTACGGACAGAAGAATTTCTTCCCTAACAGCCAGGCCTCTTATCCAGCAGGGCCCAGGCTGTAGATTACACAAATTCTATGAGTGAGTGGGAAGGTTGGTGAGAGAGACAAGTCCTATATCCATCCACTCCTTGGTTTCCGGACAGTGTATCCCTGCTTTTGGGACACAGCACCATACACGATGCCAGCATTGCTCAGTGCACATACCACATCACCCATGATTGTGTCCTGGCCCTTTGGTGTGTTGTTACAGGGTGGGTGCCTTTGCTTATTCTGCCATTCCTTTCGGCTGCTGCTTCTGGATGATGAGAGCCATATTAAGACTGGTGAATTCCATGGTCACACATGCATTGTGTGTCTTCTTTGCAGAGGTAAAGTGGCCCTAGGAGCCAGCATAGTGACTGGGTGGCTGTTGGGTGAAGCTGATTACCATAGAATTGCTGCCCGGTCACAGTAGTGCAGAGCTGGTCGCTGGTGACAATAGAGGTGGAACAGTGGTAAAGGGCCTGAGACAGATGAGGCTGAGAGGATGTGAGAAGATGGATAAGAAGTGTCTCGCACGGAGGGCTTGTGATCTGGTTCAGAAAGCAAGATATAAGCACAAGGCGGAAGAGACATCAACCTCCATGTGAGTTTCAACATAGTCAGGGCAGAGGGGTGAGCATGGCCTGGAGTAGATAAGGGGCTTTCAAGAATAGGTACAACAGAGCGTGGTGCTGCAGGCCATGCAGACATGAGACTGGTGGAAATGGGAAAGTATTCTAGGTGGTGGTCAAGACCAGTGTCAAGAAGGACTCAGATGTGAGAGTGCATGAGTTTATTTAGGGACTTGAACACAGACAACTTTGGAGCTGGTTTGTGGGGAGGAATCATAAAATAATTTTGTAGTAATACGTAACCTTTATTGAGCCCATATTGTATGCCTGACACTGTTCTGAACTCTTACATGGATTACCTAATTTAAACCTCACAACTACTCCTTAAGGAGGCAAGGACAGTATTTAGGGGTATTTTGAATAACTATACAAAGAGTTGGGTTTTTACCATTGCCACACTGGCACTGGAGGAGTTGTGGGCCCCATGAAGACAGGGCCAATTTCTTGCTAACTTTTGTATTCTTCATTCTTTATATAGATCCTGGCAAATGGGAAAGTTTGCATGATATCACTGAATGTTACTAACAGCTATCCCTAACAATGCCCTCTATGTATACCAGGCACTGTTGAAAGTGCTTGATATGGAAGAAGTTATTTAATCCTCACATAATCCCCTAAGGTGGGCACTAGTATTATACCTATTTTATAGATGAGAAAGTTGAGGCACAGAGATGTTAAGTGATTTGTCCAAAGTAACAGAGAAAGAGAGGACCAGTGCTGGGCTTCTGACCCACACAGTCTGGCTTTAGAATCCACATATTTAATTAATACACTCCTAAATGAATTTTGAGAGGCACATTGGCCTCTCAAAAATCATTTCAGAGAAAGATTTGAAAATGGTATTGGAAATTAAGTGGTGGGGAAGGTTTTCAGCCTGGGTCAGTGGGAAGGCAGGTGAGCAGATGTTTTAGGGGGTAAGAGGATGTACTTCACTGGGTCACCTAAGGTCTCTCTGTCTCCTCCAGAGAGAAGGCATATCCTTCAGGACTTGGGTATCAGCAGACATGCAGTTCTGAACATCAGTACGAGGTTTGTGTGTATATGTTTTCTATTTCCCCTACAGTGTATTTACACTCGAGATTGAGATAAACATCCATTTGCATTAACACATGTGAAAATACCTTAGCAACTTCATGCAGCTCTGGTCTGTTGCTAAGCAGTGACCCTACTGCTACCATGGCAACACCAGAGACTCCGGAGTGCTGCTGGTACCAGCCTCTTGTTACTGACAAGACTTTGGGAAACTGTCAGCAGGGCTTTAGGAGCACATTTGCTCTTGGGGAACAGCCTTGCTGTATTGCTGTTTGGCCTTGAGGGAAGCTATCTGGGGAGAGGAGCCCACCAGTGTTTGGCTGACAAGACCATGTCTGCTGTGGCTTCACCTTTGCTGCTGTCTCCATATCACCGTGGGAGTCCTGCAGAGTGGTGTGGAGTTCACAATGGATTCTTAAGAAGTTATAGGGAGCTCTTTATCAATTCTATTCCTGAGAAGGACCCACTTCAGGTACCTCCATTCAGCAGAGAGGAGCTATGGTACACCTTGGGGTGTGATCAGGCAAGATGAGTATGTCCGTCAGCATCCTGGGTAGACACAGAATCTTGCTTGGAGGTTTAGGAGGCTTCACTGAAGGAACTGCTTACAGCAAGTAGTGTGGGCAGGACTAGGGGGAAAAGTGAAGGATGGTGATGTACCTGAAATAACAGCAGGAAGCTGTTACCACCCCGAGCACTGAAAGGACAAGAGGAGGAAATGGTTTTATAGAAATGATATTCCAGTTTTTTAAAGCTGGTACTGTGGAGCAGAAGCGACTCAGCAGAAGAGACAGAATGGGATACAATTATTGGAAGAGGTACAGCTCTGAGGAGGAAGGAGGAGAGTGAATAGCTGGAACTCATCTATTGTCCTTTGATCTTTGCCAGTGTGTCCTATTAGCCAGATGTAACTGGAAACAGGCCACGAAGTAGCCCAGGCATTGTGGCCTGTAAAGGCATCAGTCTATTGTGTACAGAGCAGAGATAGGGGAATAAGGACTTTGGTGGGTGTGTATGAGCTATAAATGAGGGGAAAGGGAAACAGGCAAACTAACATGGCTGGGTTAACTTGATTGGGAGCAGGCAGGCTGGGAGGACCAGAAACTCCAACAAGATCTATCTGTGGGGTAGGATGACGCCCTAAGAGCAGAGCCAGCCACAGACACAGGAAGGAGGCATGTTTAATAAGGGGCATAGCTTCTGGGACAACAAGTAGTCAACACAATGGAAGCCCAACATACCACTGTCCTAAATGACCCTACAACAGCACTCTCCCTGACTCACAGGCAAGGCTGAGGGGGTTTTATAGGAAGTGTCCAGTCTCTGGGTTGCACAGCTGAATCATATCCCTTCGGGTTCTCCTAAACCTTCCTGTTACTTCCTCCACTTGGCCTTCCATTGCTCTCAACCTGACTGTCATTTCTCAGCCAAGTTACCTTGGATGGACAAAATTTAGACCAGAGCAGCATCAGCACTACCTGGGAACTTATTAGAAGTGCATATTTTCAAGGCCCCACCTCAGACCTGCTTAATCAGAGACATCTGGGTTAGGGGCCAACAACCTGTGTTTTAGCACTCCCTCCAGGTGATTCTGCTACACTCTGAAGTTGTGAAACAACTTTAACACCGAAACACTGAAGGTTGAGAACTAGTGATTTGGACTGTGTGATTAGCTTGCAACCCTCCGTTTAACCTGGGTGCCACTCCAACTATCTTCCCTGGCTCATTGTTCTACAGCCTCCAGCTAGCTCCACACATTCTTGTGTTCTGTTCTAGCTTGGAGAGTTCCCACCAGGGATCAGAGCCTTGGACACCCATTTGCCTGAGAAGAAACCTTGGAGAGAAGTAATCTAGGGAATTATGGTTATGAGCAATTCAGGTGCATGGCCATGGGTAGTTAGCCATTAGGTTCCAGCTGCAGAATTGGGGTTCAGAGGTAGGACACTAGCTCTGAGAGAATTAGTAAGGGCAAGGGCAGCCCCAGAGACCCTGATGCTAAGCTGATGAGCAAGTCAGGGGCTTCAGCACAGGGTGTGATGAGAGGCAGTCCTTCACAGATTTCTCCCATCCTGGAGACAAGGTACCAACTTCCTTTTGCTTTGAACTATATTTTCAAGGATGTTTGTATAGTGAATAGCCTGGAAAATAGAGATTGTATTTCTTTCTGGAGGAAACAGCAGTCATGGTTATTGACCCTTATAAAGATTTAAGTTTCCTAAGCTCAGTGTTTCTATCTTATAGTACAACCCACTGTATGTGCAAGTGTCATCTGGCAGCCTCTTTATGCTGCCTTGTAGATATTGGACCCTAGAGAATTGGTGCAAAAAATAATGATACACTAGCTACTGCAATTACTGTAAGTAGTAAACTGCCTCTTGTCTCTGACTCAGGAGTCTCATATCATCTATGAGGAATCATGAAAATATGGCAGGCTAACCTGTTACCTTGCAAATGTTATACAATCTCAACTGGACATGATGGCTCATGCCTGTAATCCCAGCACTTTGGGAGACCAAGATGGGCAGATCACCTGAGGTCGGGAGTTCAAGACCAGCCTGACCAACATGGAGAAACCTCGTCTCTACTAAAATAAAATACAAAATTAGCTGGGTGTGGTGGCACATGCCTGTAATCCCAGCTACTTGAGAGGCTGAGGCAGGAGAATCGCTTGTACCCAGGAGGCGGAGGTTGCGGTGAGCCAAGATTGCACCATTGAACTCTAGTCTAGGCAACAAGAGTGCAATTCTGTCTCAAAAAAAAAAAAAAAAAGAAAGAAAATCAGGCTCTTCACAGTTCTTAACAGGCACGAGGTAGGCCTGAGCCTCAAGAAAGAAAGGGTTGGACCAGTAGCAAAGATAACCGAGAGACCTAACCTGAGTCAGGGCTAGTGCAAGGGGTGGTACAGAGCTGACGGTAATGTGTGGGGACACAGGGCTTTACTTTGCAGAAAAGGAGGGAAGAAGAGACCAGGATTCAAGATACCCTTTTAGTCAACAGTACCTATACAGACAATAGACTTACCAGGCCGTGCCACCCCATTTGTGCTGCTATAATAGAATACCATGGTCTGGGTAATTTATAAAGAATGGAAATTTATTGTTCCTCAGTTCTGGAGGCTGGGAAGTCCAAGATCTTGCAAGGTGCCAGCAGTCTTGATTGTTTGCTGAGGGAGGGCTGTGTCCTCTGGTGGGGAGAAATGCTGTGCCCTAACACAGCATAAGGGCAAGAAGAGACATGCCCCTCTGTCAAGCCCCTTTATAAGGGCATTTAATCTCATTCATGAGGGAGGAGCTTTCATGGCCTAATTGCTTCTTAAAGGCCCCACCTCTTTATACTATCACCTTGGCAACACCTGAATATTGAAAAGGACACATTCAAACTTACCTGCATGTTTGAATCATCTGAAGAGCTTTAAAAACAACAGCAACAACAACAACTGATGCCTGGGTCCCACCTCCACAGATTCTCATCTCACTGGTAGCAAAATAGGGTTGGCTACCAGCTCATCAGGTTGTCTTGAAATTCAGCTAGATATGAGAACCATGGATCTATACCAACTGCCTCTTTTTACCCTTGTAGGAACTGAGGCTCAGAGAGTTGAAGTGACTTTATAGCAGTTCTGTTTTCTTTGAATTTTACTAGGCTGAATTTCTAGATCCCCAGGCTTTGTGCCTGGCTCAAGCCCTCAGAGCCATGGATGCTGCTTTCTGTGGTTCAGGACCTAGACTAGACTTTGGCCAGAATCTCACCAAAAACTTGACCAGCAGAGGCATTCTCTCTGTAGTGCATCAACGCTGCGACCCAGGGGGAAGCCTTCTGCTTCATCTAGTCAAGTAGGAGTCTGGGTTGCTAAGCAACCAGACATTCTTAGGTGGTTGTGCTGCTCTGTGGTGGTGCTTTGCATGCTAAGGTTTCTGGTATGGTTTCTGGAGGCCCAAAAGAGTTCTAACGGGCAGGAGATGAGAGCTCAGTGTGTGGGGTGCGAATTCACCCCCATCTTTGCCTTACCTTCAGGAATGTTACAATGCAGACCAAGATTCTGGTGCCTCACAAGATTTGACACAAGCCAGAGCTTTGTTTTTTTTTTCTCACCTGTTGGCCAGGAGATTAACTTGGAGCAGGGGAAGGTTTGTTTTAGACTGCAGGCCTTTTATAGTTTTTTAAATTTGGAAATAATTTCAAACTCTCAGAAAAGTTATAAGAATAAGAACAGTACAAAATATACCCTGATTCCTCTATATTTAACATTTAATCCATTTGCTTTATGATTCGTCATCTCTTTATCTCTTTCTCTGTCTCTCTTTGTATGTGTGAGATATATATATATATATATAAATTTTCTTTTTTTGAGATGAAGTCTGACTCTGTTGCCCAGGCTGGAGTACAGTAGCACAATCTCAGCTCACTGCAACCTCCACCTCCAGGGTTCAAATGATTCTTATGTCTCAGCCTCCCCAGTAGCTGAGATTACAGGTGCAAGCCACCAAGCCCAGCTAATTTTTGAGTATTTTTGGTAGAGACAGGCTTTTGCCATGTTGGCCAGGTTGGTCTTGAACTCCTGACCTCAAGTGATCCACCTGCCTCAGCCTCCCAAAGTGCTCTAATTACAGGCGTGAGCCACTGTGTCCGGCCAGCTCAAACTATATATTCTTTAACCACATGAAAATACGTTGTATATGTCATGGTTCTTTGCCTTGAAATAGTGTATATTTTCCCAAAAGAGGGGGTATTCTTTTGCTCGTTCTCTTACAGAACCACCTGTGTAACCACAGGTTGGTTATCAACTTCAGTAAGCTAGCGTCAATATAATATCTTTATCTAATCAATTTTCTGTATTCCAATTTTGTCAGTTAACCCTGTAATGACCTTTGGAACACTTTTCCCCCACCAATGCAGGATATACACTTGGGATAATGTATTAAATTTTATTGTCTTGTTTCTTTAGTCTCCTTTAATCTGAAATATTCCCATAGCCTTTCGTTTTGGGTTTACCCTTCACTTCCTCATCATGGATTTGGACTATGCATTCCAGGTCAGAATGCTACCTAAGTGATGCTGTGTCATTTTCAGGGTATTACATCTAAAGTCATATAATGCCAATCTGCCCCTTCTCAATTTTGATCAATTTGTCAAGGTGTTGTTCAACTTCCCCACTATATAGTTACTATTTTATCCTTTGCAACTAATCAGCAATTTAAGACCATACAAGCATCAAAACTGCCCCCTGGAGAAGCATCCTATTGATAATTCTTTCCTGAACCAATCTTTACTCTGAAGGTTTCATAATTATTTCCCAACTCCAACATCCTGAGAACTCTTATTAATAAACTATGAAAAAGCCTTCCTGGCAAGAGTCATTTTTGACTTTGGGAGGCAATTCGAGGCTGCCGAAAAAGCACCAGTTTCTTTGTCTTCAGGCAGGGCTTGCATGTAGTGTCTGCCCATGAAGTTCACTCCTTCCAAGCATGCTGCACTTGCCTGATTTGGGTTTTATATCTCTACTTCGATATATGTTTTCGTCTCTATGTTACACAGGGTTCTGAATAGTCAATTCATCTTAGAATCAGTGGCATTAGCAAAGCATTTCTGAGTCTTGGGATAATGCATTCATTTGTTTATTCATTTAGGTGGCAAAGAAGGATTTGAGAGTCTGTAATTACCATGCAGGGTACTAGGTGCTGGGCAGAGTGATGCATAAGACAGGCATGACACCTATCATCAAGAGGCTTAAAGTCTAGTGGGGAAGACAGACATTGTGCAGGTAATTAATAGTACACTAAATTTGTCAACAGGGGCAATAGATTGCCTTCTGAGCATGTATCAGCAGAAGCTAACCTAATCTGGGTACAGGTGACGCCCTTCCTGAGTAAATGAAATGGTGAGTTGTAATGATCTTGGCAGAAGTGGGTGAGGTGGGAGCAGCAAGTGTAAACTCCCAGAAGCAACAGAGTATGGTGTGTGTTCCCATCTAGATGACTGGGTGTTGGGGCAAGGGCTGGGGTGGTTCATGAGGAGACTGAGAAATGGGTCAGATCTGAATTGTGGAAAGCCTTTTGAACCTTGATAGGCATTTTGGTTTTTATTCTAGGAGCCAAGAGAAGCCTCTGAAGGATTGCAAACAGAAGAATGATCCAATTGTATTTGTAAATTAAAAGATCACCCTGGCTGCTTTGTGGGAAATGGATTTGAATGGGTGGGGAAAGAATGAAGCCAGGTAGAAGTTGTGAAATCAGTTCAGAGGCTGAAAGAGGTCCAGGTGGAAGATCATGATGACCCGATTAGGACGGCAGCCGAATGAATGGGGGAAGGTTTTCAATTTCTCTGACTTCCCATCTCTCAACAGGGATCCTGGATGCTGTATGAAGCTTAAATTCTTAAGAGCCATAGACACTGTTCAGACACAAGACAGTGCCCATGAGAGGAACAAAGCTCTCAATCTAGGTGGGAAACATATCGAGTCCTTAAGAAAGAAGCTTACTCATATTATAAAGAGTAGACAAGCATGGACCATGGTCTTGTAGTTAATGAATTATGTTTGCTGGGTAATATCTCACTTGCTCTTTTCTATTTTTACAAAAGCAGATGATTCTGTTACTAAGTATTGTACAGTTTAATTTGATTTGTGTAACCATTTGCACCTCAGAAGTATTACGGACATGGCCAATTTTGGCTCCCAGACAATGCAAAATTATCGTGGAATCTTCTCCCCCAACCTAGCATTCTTTGCTTTGTCTGCAGTTTTTATGGCACATGATACTTTCCCATTAACTTTTATTAGATCCATAATTTTTTTTATTAGCATTGAGTAATAACTGTTTTCAGTGGCCTCACTCTTCCAAAGAGTTCTTGATTAGTAGTCCATGATAACAATTGCTAAATTGAAGTTTCTTCTGCCAGCATTTCACCCGCAGTAAATCCAACTATTCTACCTCATCTTGCTTAAAAAGCCATGAAATTCCCAGACATTATTAGAAAAATGACCACAGTCAAAGTGCTTTAAATGGAGATGGAAATTAAGCTCTGCCCTATTTGAATCAAGATGTTTCATAGTTCTGGGCTGGGAGTGAGAACTTTCAACTCAAGTGAAAACTCTCCTTTCCTCTCTGCAGGATTTCTTTTACTAGGGAGATTGTTTGTTCACCCGTAGTTTCAGATTGGGACTGTGTCTGTTGGACAAAAAGGGATTGTTTTAATATTAGCAATAGTAGTTGTTATTCTTCCCTCATATTAAGGATGAATGAGCATCAGGTGTGAACTTGCCCAGAGTGGAGTAGGATATGGGGCTAGTTGCTCTTGGAGATATGTTGTCCAGTTCAAAAATCTCTTACCTTGTGCTTCCAGTGAAGTTTCTCTTATTTAAATTTAGTGTACCTAATATTTAGTATACCTGGTATCAGTTCAGTTTAATTCAATTTGATAGGTGATTTTTGATATTTCTTACATTGTGGCCAGCCAAGCAACCTATATTCATTAGGATTGGTTAAACTGCAGGTGAAGAAACCCCTAAACTTCTCTCATGTAAAAGAAATACAGAGATTGACAGCCCAGGATTTATTGGACAAGTTACAAAGTGGTCAGGGACCTAGGCTGATATCTTGCTGTTGTGACATCCTCAACATGTAGCTTTCAACTCATGATTCAAGATGGCTGCCTGAGATCTAGCCATCTGTATTCTAACAGAAGAAAGGAAGAAGGGGAAAAGAAGGTCATGTCTCCTTCCTTTAAGGACACTTCCAGGGAGTTGCATGTAACCCTTCCACTTGAATCCATTGGCCAGAATTGACTCATATGGGCATACCTATCTGTAAAGGAGGCTAGAAAATAAATATTATTATTTCAAGCACCTTATGCTAAGCCAAAATTTTGGGGATTCTATTACTAAGGCAGAATAGGAAAGTGCACGTTGCAGGACATCTAATAGGCTCTAACAACAGATACTCAAGCTATCTTCTCTAGATTTTTAAAGAGCTCTCCATTTGTTCTTGAGCATTCAGGAAACCAATTTTAAAACAGATGCTTCCTATCCTTGGAAAAATGAGTTTCAAATTTTAAAATCCAAAGACTAGAAACTGAGCAAAGAAATGCTTCTGGTATATATGTAGCTGATGACTTTGAGAAATACTAGGATACACAGCAGCTTCCAACAATTATGCATCATCCATCTAGCCATCCATCAATCCTGTCAACACATTTATTGAGCACCTGCTATATGCCAGACCCTATGCTCATGGCTTAGGAAATGAATATGATGAATAAGTTGTTTTTCACACTCAAGGAACTCATGATTTGATGGAGGAAAATGGTAGGTAAAGTAATCACTCCAGGTGATAAATGCTATAATAAAGATGATCATTCATTTCTTTATCTATTCAACAAATACTTTTTGTACACCTACTATGTAGGAGGTGCTCTTCTAGACACTAAGGATATAAAAATAGAAAGTCAAGTTCTCTACTAGAAAAATTAAAATGCCGAGTGATAAAAGGGACCAGTGGAGTCATGGCTAGGACCAGTGGGAACTTACGGAGGGCAAGCTTACATCTGCCTGGATGAGTCAGGAAATGCTTTCTAGAGGAGATAACTGCTGAACTAAAACATGAAGGAGGAGTAGAACTTGGCCAATACAAACTTGGGCCTTTTCCTTTTGCCCATGAAGCATTGATGGAATAACTTTCCTTTCCTTTCCTGCTAATATGTAATTCAATATGTTGTGGGTGGGTGGTATTTGATACCAATCTATACTAAAAACTTTGAATAATTCTCTCTGCTGCCAACTGGAAACACAAAGGTATTTACTTGGTAAGGTTTCTTGTGTGAATGGGTAATAGGAGATATTTCCAGTTTTCCTTGGTTTTAAGCAGAGTTGTGAGGACAATATTTTAAATCCATCTTGGGTCTGGAAGGCCTGACAAATGCATTTCCACCATGGCAAGGAAGTGGAAATCAGAAATGATTGTGTCTCAAATGCAATGAAGAGTCTGACAAAATACATTCTATCAATGGAATGAAATTAGTTATCTGTCAAAATGCATTTATCCCCTAAATAACCATCCATATGTTTTATGTTTTGGTATTAAATAGACATTCATCAGTTTATCACAAAAGCACTGTCAGAGACTCAGCATTT